ATATCAGAAGTTGCTGATTGAAAATTGTTCTAGTTTTTTTTTCCTGCTTGATCAAATACAGTACAAATGATCTGATCTCTTAAGCATTTGTGGAGATTTCATCGAACCAAAATTTGCCTGAAAAATTTACGGCGGTACAGTAATCAAGAAAATTAGCGACTAAATTTCAAGAAGGAATAGAATAATTATTATATTTACCATTGCAAGAGTGGAAGCAATAAGTCATGTATAATTACGAGTACTGTATGTAAAAGAATAAAATTATCATATTCAAAACTTTGAAATATTTCAACATTTATTTTTCAAATACTGTAATTTAAATCTTCAATATTTATTTTTCAAATACTGTAATTTTAATCTTCAACATTTATTTTTCAAATACTGTAATTTAAATCAGTGTTGCCCAACCTTTTTATGCCCACAAACCAGCAAATTTGCAAAAAAAAATTTTGTGGACCAGCAAAATTTCAAAAAATGTTCTGCGGACTGGTAAAGTTTTGTACAATTTTTGCACACAGCAATTTTTTGCTTTGAATACTGTATGGCAGGTATTGAAAAGGTTTCTGCCTTTTTGCAAAAAAAAAATTTAAGTTTAAAACCAATGAAGCAGGTATAGTGGAATGTTTTCAAAAAATTAGGAAGGTTAATTTGAAAAAACTTTCTCAGATTGAATGTATTTCATCAGGTGAAAGTTTTTCTGAAGTAACATTAAGAGAAAAATCAACTTATTTTTTCATGATATAATTGTAACTGCAATTATCTAGCAAAATTTAAAGATAAAGCTACTGTAATGTGTCCTTCATTGATAAGTTTTGATAAATTTATCATGCTTGAGAAAATTTTCTCGCGGACCGGCAAAAAACTTCCGGTTGTGGAAAACTACAGTACTTTAAATCGAATCGTACTCTCAATTTATTGCATATGTGAAATATGAGATTCCACCACTTTCGTTCCAAATTAAACATAATTCTGTAGTTTAATTGTTTTACTGTTGATTTTCAGAGAGCGTCTCCATCCGTCGCCTATATTTTAATCCAATCCAGCAGCAATTTCAAAATTATTTTCTTGTTTCATTGCAAATTTTGGAGCATTTTTATCAATACTTTCAATCATGCGCTAATTAAATTCTAAAATTTTAAATCATAAATTCAATTTGAATACTTGTACAGTATTATGGAATTTCTGAATAGTATTCGCGTTGTTACAGCAGTGAGATGCACGTTAGATTCGTATGAGGCGACATCACGAATCCTGAACTAATTTCTCGTATCTCTGGACCCTTCAACCTTCTTTGATGAAGTTGAACTGAATACTTAACTTGACCCAACAGTTAATGTAACACGCAAGCAAGGGTTAAAAAAAAAGAAAAGAAAGTTCGGGCATAGCGAGAGAACTCGTGAGTTCGAAGCTGAAGCAAGCGACACCTACAATAGCAAGCAATAACTTCAGCTAGTTTTCCCTCAAGTAGATGTCGGAAACTAGTGGTTATTTCGAACCTTTTTCAGGCGAGTCGAACAATGTCCAACACATTGCCCCCCCAGGACATCCAATAACCGCTCCCGGAGTCGAGTGGCAATTGGGAACAGCTGGTGTACCACACATGTAACACAACACAGCATCTAAAAATATATATAAATCATTAAAATGTAGTGTTTCAAGACCAGCAATTATAATTCATCGGATCGATCATCGAATCGAAGGAAATGCCTGAAAAAGCTGACAGTTGCGCCACCACGACCAGAACAAGCAAAAGCTTTGCTGGGTTCCAGAAAATTCCAGATTTCGCCGCCATCATTTATTGTCTCCAGCAAAAGAGAATTTCAATTCATGGAGTAAAATATGTGAAGATTTCGCTGAAAGAGATTAAAGCCTTGTAAAGGTTATTGTTGATGTTTTCTTATATGCGAGTTGACCAAGTGGATCTTTGAAGCCATGTAAAAATCACCAGTGGAAAATATAATTCATTCTGCCTAATAGTTTTGTTTTAATAAGGATTGAAATTGCATTTCTCGAATATGGAGAAAATTCAGAGATTCAGACAATAAATATTCCTTGGCTGAATGAAAAACATGTGGGCAATTTCAAGCCTGCATCGGAAAATTTGGTCCAGCAATAAATTCACCTGAATTTATATATTTTTTTAAACTGGAGACTTCACCCACAAATGTATTCGAATTTTGCTAGTTTATTAATAATTTGACGTTTCATGAAATTGCTGAAAACATTGAAATCGATTTACAGCATTTATTCGAGCAGATTAAAAAATTAAAAAATACTTATCTGAATCTGAAATATAAATGAAGCTTCGATTGAAATTTCTAAGAAATTTACCTGGTCGAATTAGAAATTTCCATATCTTTATATAGAAAATTTCTGGAAAACAAATTGCAGAATAGGATGCTCTAAAAATAAAGCAGGAATTCGCAGGATTTTCAAGCCAAAAATGAACATTATTAGTTTCATTTAGAGATTGAAATCATTTTTTGTTCTGCAGAAATTGGGATATAAGAAATAATCAGAAAATGATCATAAATCGACCCAGCAAAAATGACTTGCTAGCATTTTATTGTCTCAAGTTGAATATAATGAAGAAAAAAGTCCAATCAAATTCTTTCATCTGTCGGTGGTTGCAGATCGTTTGTCGACCGGAGGATTTTTCTCCTTCTTCGCTCGATTCTCAAAGTACATAAAATCCTGTTCCGAAATGAAAAAAAAAAATTTTCGTGTCAGCAATAATTAATATTCATGTGAATAAATTAAGATCTTTTTTTTCGATACCAGTAGAAAAACTGTTCCGATGAGAACTGCTTTCAGTTTGACGTCCAAATTGATGGGGAACGAAACCCCGAACATGTCGGCGTCCGTGCGATTTTTCTCCAGCAAATTCGAAATCCGTCTTTCCACGATTTTCCCGAGCTTCTCGCCGGGTTTTTCCATCGAGAAAATCTATTTTGAAAAATATGTACAAGAATGCACTTCTTCAACCTGCCTCTTGTACAGTATTTCCATTTTGAAATGTCGAGGGTTTTTTTTAAATGATGTATAATTACTTGGAAAGTGACGTCTGATGAGCTGAAACAAGCACGGCCACATGGCCCAACAACCTTGAGTTTGGCGACTCCCATATCGTCTTTGATGATGAAAGTTGGTCTAAGTAAAGACCAGCTTTGTTCAACTGTGCCTATTCGATAACCTGCATTTGTCCTTGCTTCCAGGAGCTAAAAATGAATGAAGAAAAAATTATTTTTCAGAAATAAACCTTTAAAATTTCCAGATGCTAGGGAAAGTAACTTTTCATGCACTGGTAAACACTTGAAAAATGTCCTTTTCAAAAAAAAAATTTTTCCTGGAGTAAGTTTAAAATTATGAATACCATTTAAAAAGTTTTTGAGGACTTCTGGAGAATGACCAAAATGAATCTGAAATATTTCTCCAAACTTATATTTTAAGCAAGAAATGCCTTATAATCACTTAATTATTGGCCAAGTCTTTAATATTTCTTTATCATGCATTATTCTAATTTGATGAAGAATTTAATCAATATTCAAGAAACAGTGTGAACAATGAATTCTTTTGATACCTTCTGCCAGTGCCAGAATTTTATTAATTGCATAAAAGGTGGTTGGAATGAAGAGGTGATGTGGAATGTAATATCTACTTTTAGGCAGATTACATTATTCCAAAAACAACAGAAGACTCTTATTATTCTATTTGCTCATAAAAAAAAAGTTAAAACAGTTTTTGTGTATCCATCATTAAAGTTAACTCCATAAAGTTGGTATTGTATTGCAAATGATTGGTTTAATTGTACTGAGTTATTTAGGATTGCCATATTGTATTGCTTAAATTTGAGAAATGAATTGGCAGTCTTTGTAAAGTTATCTTCCTGCATCCACTTTAGTTCCTTGTTTTTGACACGCTTTACGGGCTTTCCCCAACTGGAGATTATACAGTGTGCCAATACAAATTGGCATGCCAAAAGACAAATGGCTAAAACATCTGGCAGCAATAAAGCCGTCAAAAGATACTTCCCAGGAAATCAGTAAAGCTGACCCCCTAGTTTCATGGGGAGACAAAATTATGTTTATGTAAACACATTTTGTGCCTATTGTCAGCAGGTTCTATGCCTGCCAATTGCTGAGTTTGATTCAATTCCAATCTCTCCTTGTTGTTGGGAGAAAACTTGTCTTGTGAAAAGCTTTCAAAAACATTCAACAGAATTTTATAAACTTGAGCTAAGTACTTTTCTTCTCTCCTCAGAGACAACGTTTGCACAGTCTTCTTGAATATAAAACAGATCCCTTTTCAATTATCTTATGTTATGAATGAGACTGATTGTTTTTGAAGGAGATATTTTTCACAGAACACATTACTGTATTGTATTTGTGGTGAAAATAGCAATCAATACAAACTGGCATCAGTATATGGGGAAAGCTTTGCTCAGTACATACAAACTCTAACATCTCAAGTGATAAGAATAGCTGGATATATTTGATATATTTAAAAAACCACAATATAGACTATAAAATAATCTATAGTACTAAATAATTTACAGTGTCTGCATCCCTGAAAAGCTGATATGAGGTATCCATTCTTGGATGAATATTTGTGGGGCAGTCTTTTATTATAGAGGAGCCATTGTGCTTGTTGGACTTCAGCACAAGAATGTACTTAATCACTCCTTCAGATATTGTAGATTTTTCAAGTGATATCAGGTTTTTAAAGAGAGTTAATTTTAGATACAGTTGATGAAAGAGAATGGATATTCACTTGAACAAAGAAGAAGATGACACATTTCTTATTCAGCATAGAAACTGCAGTGAGAAGAAATGTGACTGATCAAATTATTGGATGATAATTTTCTCAGAACAATAAACCAATGCTCAATTGTTTGAAGTTGACCCCATGGGCAAAATTTCAGAATTTTTGTAGTATATAGAAGGTCCAGGAAATTATTGTGACTCTTTCAGAAGTTTTTTGAATCTTATGCTTCCTTTTCTTGAGTCTTCTTTGTTGGATGACATGAATATAGTTTAAAATACAGTTTAAAAAACATGTTTCTTGAACACTGATTCAATGATTGCTCATTGAAGGTAAGATGAAGAAGATTGAGATTTAAAAATACATTCCATCATCTTGAGGTAATGATGATACCTGTTACAATTTCAAGTCACTGTACTGGCTTTTGAACCATTTATAATTTTGAATTGATACTGACCCTATCACGCTATAGAAGTCAGTTATCTTCAATTTGATGTCCAACATGCTTTTTCTGGAATGTCATAAACAGGTGTCACCTGAACCACTAACTTGAAAAAAAAACATTACACACTTATTGAATTATACCCAAAACATGTAAGAAATTTTGTGTGACACCTATTCAGCAAGAGAAATATAAAATCTTAGATCAGATTATTTCTGGCCTATTTGATGTTAAAATATTGGTGCTTATTCTTGTTCTTATATACAGTATTATACATTGCAAGCTCATTTTTGACATTGTGCAAAGTGTCACGGGTCAAACAGATGTTGCCCAAGCAGAAAGGCATTGGAACTTAGGAGAGAACAACAAAGCATATGAAACACCACATTGTCCTTTTCTTTTGAAATAGAAACATCTTTTAAAACAGAAGAAAATAAAATTATCAAAAATACAAACAGGATGAAAAACAAGATTCCAAAGAAATCAACCTCAACGGGCTAGCCTTGGAGATAATGATCTCCAGGGCTTATTCAACTTGAGTGAATCAGTCCTGTGATGAAAGGAATAACAGGAATTATGTGTGCAGAAGAATTAGTCACACATCCCTGGAAAGCCTTGGACAAAACTTTCCACTGATGAGGACCTGAACCTTATCAACTTCAACACACAAGCAGCACTTCACTTGTCTCCAGAGTTCCAAAGCAAAGGCATCAATTATTATTGTGTGCAAACTATTTTTGAATATTGTTGAACACTTGCTGAATTTTGTTGTGTATATTTACACTTCTTTATATTTAAGGTTTGGTATCTCCTTTATAGTGGAAGTAGTAAAACACAGTATTCCAGCAGTTCTAGTATTCATTACCTTTCATCAATAAACACACAAGACAAGACCTCAGAGGATTCCTACTTGGGATTCTACTCAATGGTCAGCACACTAATGCCTGGTTTTGGGAAGATGCTATTGGAGTTTATATACTCCAGAAAATCAGGGACAAGGTCAGAAGTACCAGGAAGTGTACTTCATAATTGAGGGACAGATCCAGGAGGGGAGGATGGAATGCAAGGCTACGTCCTTCAAGGAAGGTCAATATCTGTTACAATATATTATCAAATATATTAGCCTCAAGAATTGCCATGTCAGGAAGAGTAATTAATCTCTTCCTTTTTCTCATCTTCTTTGTTTCACCTGAGTCCTGTAATATTCTTTTTTACAACTCAGCTGTCAGAGTCATTTATTATTTATGACTCTGGGCTCACGTGTATCATCAAGAGTATTTTCCCGATGATAAAAATGTATAAACCAACGTCAAGATACTTACCTCAGGCTGCAAATGCATGCATATTTTCTTATATCGCTTTATTGAACAAATGATAACCCTTTATCTTTGCCAGAGAGGCTCAATAGCCCCTGATAGACACAAAGCTCAGCTTTTAATGATGATTCCCCCAATTTTTCTTGTCAGAATATGATTCTCATATGACATAATCAGAACTATATGAAGGAGATTCATTAAAATTGTAAGTATGAATATGTACACTTGAACTGACCCAAGAGAGTCTGGAGGAAGGGTGAGGGGTGTGGAATTCATAAAATTAAAAAAAAAAAATTAGGAAAAAAAACTCACTTGAAGACAGCAGAAGAATAAACAGCAAGAGCACCTCAGGGGTCTACTGAAGCTCAGCACTTCTTGCTCATAATTATCGCAAATGCGGACCTTGAAACTTCTGGAAGGTCCAAAAATCGCTCTTTGAAATCCGGAAGACTTTTCTTCCGCACAGTATATCCGGTTTCCCAGGGAATTTTTTATCCGGTACTTGTTTGGCACTTCCACTCCCGTCTTCACTTCAATGTTTGAATTTAAAAAAAAAAAACAAGCATCAACTCATGCTATAATTTTACATTTTCGGTCGTGTATATACATGCAGTGAAATTCTCGTTACAACGAATCCGTTATTGGGATCAGGAAAAAGCTGCGTTATGAAGATAAATTCGCATTTATAAAGCGATTTGAATTTTTAAAAAATTTATGGGACAGGAACTTGAAAAACGACATCTTTGTGACGAATAAATTGTTAAATTTAATGAGATTCGTGATGAATACGAAGTTGCTAAAATGCAATTATTTGAATGACATTATTGCTAAATGAAGGACAGTGACATGAAAAAACCGCTTTTTTTAAATCAGTGAATTCGTTATATAATGATAATCGTTGTAAGGAGACTTCGTTTCAAAGTTAAATTCGTTATAAAAGCGATTTGAATAACATAATGATTGCTGTACAATAGGGACTTTTAAAACTACTGTACGTCTTTTTAACCAATGAATCATTTTATAATGAGATTCGTTGTAACGAGATGCTACGTATTATTATTTTTTGTTTACGTTCTCTGAAGTCGATGCTTTGATCAATCAGCAATTGATCGATTTTCGCCAAATACTCGAGTCCTCGCGGAAGTTGATTGTAAATTGAACTTGCTCTTTTGGAGCGAGGAGCCAAATACAGTCGTTCTGTGGACATTTCAAACAAGCAACTGAAGTTTTTTGGTTGTATTGTGGAGCTATATATTTTTATCAAGTGGCAACAGTTTTGCTCCTATTATCATGTATGTATATACTCAACTGTTGTGCTGTGTTCGTTGAAGGAAAGAATGACGAGGGGTCAACAAAATATTATCTCTTGTGTGTTTGAAGAATTCTGGACTTTCTTGTTCCGCTGGGGATTTATAATTTTTTTTCCTTGTCGCAAAAATACTCGGAAAATTGTCGGTATTTTTTTTTGGGAGAGGGGCCTTTTTTCTCCCCAAAAGTCGTGTTTTTGTTTTTTTTCAAAAGTCCCGCGAAAAGCTAATTTGACATGTGTGTATAAACAACTAAAAACACTTGCAATTTTTTGAAAAGGAAAGTTATCGGAACTGCGTGAAAATGATATTTTCAACACGATTCGATCATTTATTAGGTACTGTATGACTTCTTTCAAATTTTTCTTTTAACTATGACTTGGTTTTCGCTTCAGCTTTATTTTGATGATTTTGACAATGGCACAGATGAAAAACGTAAAAAGCAAATTGTCGGAAAAATTATTTTATTCAACAAGTTTTCTCGGAACAAATTTTTTTTCAATCGCCGAAAAGTTTTCATCAATGGAATATTCCGGTAGGAATTGTTTCTCACAACAGCGGAAAAGCAACAGCAGAAAAATCCGGAATAATTTATCACAGCAGAAAATGGAAACAGTTCTTTCTTTCGAGAAATGCGGTTTTTTTTTGGAAGACGGGTGGGTTCATTTTTTCACGAAATAAGCTCCGGAAATTCTTCCTATACAAAAATAAAACATTCAGCCGAATATTCAAAAAAGTTAAAATGACCGAATTGAAGATTAGACTGATTTGGTCTCCTTTTTTCTCATTATTGGCGTTTAAAAAATGCAACCAAAAACGTATATATAGAGAGTCCCCCTTATGAAAACTGGAACAACCATCACAGCAAAAGATTTAAAAAAAATCGCTTCTTCCTTCCATTATAAAAAAATCCCTTGAATAGTTTAATTTTTTCTTTACCCGCGGATTTTTTATTCCACTTGTTACTCTCACAAAAACACAGACAAAACTCCTAGCAAATTTCAGCCGAATACAGTATTAAAAAAAATACCGAATTAATTATTAGAGTGGTCTATATTTTAATTTCATGTCATGAAAACTAAAACAATAATGGACAATCACAGCAAAAGAGTAAAAAAAAAAACGCTTCTTTCTTCCAATTTCTTTTTTTTTGTTAAAATAAGAATCCCTCCCATCATCCCTATCGAATAGTTGTAATTTTTTCCCTGCCCGCACATTTTTCTTTCCTTTTGTTTATTTGTTTCTCTCAGAACAAAAAAAAAAAAAAAAAACACAGACAAAAATCCTGGTTTTTCTTCTGTTCATTCTCCTCGCAAGTTGAGGTCCCCACTGAGAGTCTGTGCGGCTGCTTGGACGAGGTAGGCAATCACTGACAAGTGCTTCCTGACTGCTTTCCAAGCTGCTGGCTTGTCCTCTGCTGAGTCTATGTTGAACAGCAGGTCTGATAGGCCAGTGAAGCTGGAGCCTGAGTATGAGTTGCTGCTGCTGGGTGCAAACACTATGTGACTGTGGACAAAAGAGAGAGACAAGTGGGGGATGACTGATACAGTACATATCCAACTGACACAATTCTGTGATGCATTTTGCTTAGCTTTCTTTAAGGAGAGAATTTATCCTCTATACTTCTATAGCAGTGTTCCCCAATCTTTTTGTGCCAGCAGGCCAGCCAATTTCCATAAAAATGTCTGCAGACCATCTAATTCCTAATAAAATTTCTGCAGACCAGCAAAGCTTTCTAAAAATTTTTCAGACTTTCAAGTGTTGCTTGAAATTCCTTTTTGGCAGACTTTTAAAAATATTCTGCCTATCATTAAAAATTAGAAAGGCAGGCTGGAAGAAAGGTTTCTCAGACTGAAAAATTGAAATAATTTATTTCAGTAAATAAATAGGTGAAAATTTGTTTGGAGTTTACTTAAGAAAAAAGCCAACTTTTATTTCTTCATCAGATAATTTAAACTGCAGTTGTCTGTTGGAAATTTCAGATAAAAATGACAGACTTCATTGTTCCTTTTTTCAATTTATTATGGTGCAGAATATTTTCCGCAGACCAGCAAAAAAACTTCTGTGGACCAGTGCTGGTCCACAGAATACAGGTTGGAAAACACTGCCCTACAGGGCTTTTCAACATTTCTGTATGAAAATTGACTAGTTTAAAATAGCCTTGCATTCAGGAATTTGGTATGCAGAAACATGTACTGCAGTTGGAGTGAAATTCTTCCCATCACCAAGAAATTTTCAAATTCAACATTTTTGATGCATGGGTCTTTTTGAAGCACTGTTTTATAAGAATATAGAGGATAGAATTGAATACAGCGCATTGAAATCTTGTTACAATGAAACTCAAAATGAAAATACAGTATTTGAACAATGGATTTGTTTTTTTGGAACCTGCTCAATAATCACAATGCTATTTGACTTTCCTTGCCGCAATTTTGTTGTTGTTGCTATGGCAGAGCTTTTCCCTGTTCCAAATATGGCTGTGTTGTAACAAAATTGTATTGCGCAGTACAAAGAAAAAAATGTAGTAGATTGAAAAATTAATCTAAAAAACCACGTTTTCAAAAAGCAAAAAATAACCTTGAATTGTGGACAAAAAAAAAAAAAAGAGGGAAGTGGGGGATGACTGATACAGTATATCCAACTGACACCATTCCATGATGCAGTTTGCTTATTTCTATTTAAGGTAGGAATTTATCCTCTATACAAGCCTATATTGAACAGATGGTCTGATAGGCGAGTGAAGCTGGAGCCTGAGTATGAGTTGCTGCTGCTGGGTGCAAACACTATGTGACTGTGGACAGAAGAGAGAGACAAGTGGGGGATGACTGATACAGTACATATCCAACTGACACAATTCCATGATGCATTTTGCTTATTTCTATTCAAGGTAGGAATTTATCCTCTATAGCAGCGTTCCCCAACCTTTTTGGGCCAGCAGGCCAGCCAATTTCCATAAAAACTTTTGCAGACCAGCTAATTCCCAATAAAATTTCTGCAGAGCAGCAAAACTTCATAAAAAATTTTCAGACTGTCAAGTGTTGCTTGAAATACTTTTTGGCAGACATTTAAACATATTCTGCCCATTTAAAAAAAAAATTCAGAACAATCAAGCAGCTAGGTAGTGGAATTTCTTCAAAAAGGCAGGCTTGAAGAAAAGTTTCTCAGACTGAAAAATTGAAATACTGTAATTTATTTCAGCAGGTGAAAATTTGTTCGGAGTTTATTTAAGAGAAAAGCAAAATTTTATTTCTTCATCACATAATTTAAACTGCAGTTGTCTGTTGGACATTTCAGATGAAAAATAACAGACTTCATTGTTCCTTTTTTCAATTTATCATGGTGCAGAAAATTTTCTGCAGACCAGCCAAAAAATTTCTGTGGACCAGTGCTGGCCCATGGACTACAGGTTGGGGAACACTGCCCTATAGGGTTTTTCAAAATTCCTGTATAAAAATTTACTAATGTCAAATAGCCTTGCATTCAGGAATTTGGTATGCAGAAACATGTACTGCAGTTGGAGCTGAAATTCTTCCCATCACCAAGAAATTTTCAAATTCAACATTTTTGTTGCATGGGTATTTTTAAAGCACTGTTGTATAAGAATGGAGGATAGATATGAATACAGTGCATTGAAATCTTGTTACAGTGAAACTCAAAATTAAAATACAGTATTTGAACAATGGATTTGTTTTTTTTGGAACCTGCTCAATAATCACAATGTTATTTGACTTTCCTTGCAGCAATTTTTTTGTTGTTGCTATGGCAGAGATTTTCCCTGTTCCAAATATGGCTGTGTTGTAACAAAATTGTATTGCGCAGTACAAAGAAAAAAATGTAGTAGATTAAAAAATTAATCTAAAAAACCACGTTTTCAAAAAGCAAAAAATAACCTTGAACGTGGTGCGCATGGAGATTGTTGGGAAGAAGTGAAATACAAATGAAATAGATGCGCACCACGTTCAAGGTTATTTTTTGCTTTTTGAAAAAGTGGTTTTTTAGATTAATTTTTTTATCTACTAAATTTTTTTGTGCTTTTTAGTCTTACTTGAAAAACGTGGTTTTTTAGATTAATTTTTTAATCTACTATAATTATTTTATTCTTTTAAAAAAATATTCTTATAATTATTCTTTTCACAAAAGATTGCATTGTCATCAGTTTCTAAGCTATCCTGAAAGTTTCAGCTTGCTAGCTAGT